TGTCCCAAATTTGATAAATAAAGCAACTAAACCAAAATGAACAAGTTCAAATTAAAAAAATTAAATACCTAATTATCTCCAAAAATCCGATTCGTTTTTTTGACCATCCCATTATCCCAAGTTGCCGGACTCCTTCATTAAATGTCGATTAAGCAGCCACGTTGATTGGCCCAATCAATCTGACACCCATCAATTAAAGTGAATTTAACCTGCCATAAATTCTTTTTTTTTATAAATAAAAATCGGAGCGATCGTACGTTCCGAGAAATAATTGCTTTCGATTTACAATAATTTTGGAAAAAAAGTAGCGATGCACATACGTCAGCTTTCTCTTGCGGGCTCGAAAAAATAACGTATAAACTGGTTGTTTCATGAAATATTTCTTTGGCAGCACCCAAGCTCATTAAATTGTAAACTAAACATGATTTATCGTTTGTGAGTTTTGCATTTTATTGTTTTTGGATTATTAGGTCAATTTAAACCCATAAATTATTACTGATTTTGTTTGAATAGTGGAATAACTTTATGCACTACAGGGTGAGCGTAGATCTAGGTAAGTTGATTCATTGATACTTCAATATAAAGTGAAGTGAAGTTTTGTTTAAAGGAAATAACTTAGGCATACTAGATACGACCCGCCATTTTTGACGGAACTTATTTCAAAAGAGAAAAATCGACTTTTCTCTTGATTCCGGTAAACGAAAACCTTGTGGGGAAAACCATATTTGGAAAAAGTATCTAAATAATACCAATACATACGTGAACGGATTCTTGTGGAAGATTGTAGTTTTATTCGAATGGAGATGGCGAAGAGGCGTCCTCGACCACTGCAACCTTATCAGATATATTGTGGTGTCTCCTATCAGTCCTTAGAGTGCGTTCTCTAGACCCGTCTTGATTATTAGACTCCAGAGCCATAATACGGCTACTCTATATAGCTTGCCGTATTGGGCTTCTCCTCAACAAGTTCTGTGAACCTAAGCCTGCATAGCGCTTCGCAGAGGCACCACACCTGTACACCTACACAGGCTATCCTCTGACAGACTCGGTCTGCAGGTGCTTGTTAAGTTTGCAATGCCCTGTTAATTGGCCTACCGATATCCTAAAAATCTTGCGACTGTGGCTTAGTAGGTCCGCTCTGAACTTGGAGCGAGCAGTATTTGATTCACTGCTTTGCCTATCGTTTTCCCAGTGGTTTCTGCCACCAGATCTGGAACTCAATGTCTATCCAGTTCTTGATAGATGTTTTAAAAAGGCCTGAAAAAAGCCGCAGAATGGTTGTGGGCCTCATCTCAGTGGCTGAGTCTTCTTTGGCTAAGTCGTCAGCCTTTTCATTTCCTGGATAGCGTTTATGGCCTGATACCCAGGCTATGGTAAGTTTATTGGACAGGCTAGGGTACCTACGTATAGAGTCCCCAACAAGCTTAGAGCTGATCTTCTGAGAGCTGATTGCTTCTAGGGCCGCATGGCTGTCCGAGTAACTAATGATCTTTTTACTCTTAACTTTCCTTTCATTTAGCAGTTAGTGCATTATTTCAGCGTAGCCGCCTGAAACACCGTGACGTGCTGTCCGAGACGCGTGGATATCTCCACCCAAGGTCTGTCTCCGTAGATACCAGCTCCGAGCCACTTGTTGGTCGTGGAGCCGTCGGTGTACCAGATGTGGTCTGCTTCAATTAGAGGTCCTTCTTTCCAATCTTTCCTATCCGGTATGGCATCCCGGAAGTGCCTGCTGAACATGAAATTAGGCGTTGTTTTATCTGAGGGTATATCGAACAAGGAGCTGACCTCTAGGTTCTCCTCTATTTTCCAGCTCATGTTCTTGGTCTTGCTTCAGTGTGTGGAGTAGGCGCCGCCTTTACTTCACCCTGTATGTAGACATGCGGCATGTTTAGCTCTAGCAGCACCTCCAGGGCTACGATTGGGGCTGTTTTCATGGCCCCGGTGATGCATACGCAGGCTAGCCTTTTCACACTGTCAAGCTGTCTGATTGCTACGGCCTGTATGATCTTTTTACCCCCGGCATCCGTACAATAGGTTATCATTGGACTTATTACCATTTTTTATAAATATAGATTCATCTTTGGGTGAAGTCCCCAGCTTTTTACACAAAGCCTTCTGCATCTCTCCAGGGAAATTTTAGCCTTCTGGATAACTTTGTTGAGGTGAGGACCTCGGATCATATTTTGTTCAAAAATGACTCCTAGATAGTTAGTCATTTTTGAGAACGGGATTTCCTTTGTTACGCCTAAGACATTACTGTTTTCTGCGGATTAACCGACAAACCTTCCTCCCTGCATCAGTTACCCACTACGTTCAGTGCTTTTTGAGTTCTTTCTGAGACATGCCTGCCTCTGACTACCAGGACTATATCGTCCGCGTAGACAAGGCAGTGGAATCTCCCCTTGGCAATTTTTGCCAGGAGATCGTTTGCCAGGACCGCCCAGCATAATGGCGATGAAATGCTCCCTGGGTGCCGCCCTATTAATTACAATGCCGTTCAGAATTTTAAAGAGAGTGCAAGTATCAAAAAATGTTCTTCGATTTTCTAATGTAGTAATGTTTAAAAGTTTCATTATCTCACTACAGTTAATTTGTCCATAGGGAATACCCATCTTAAGTTCTACTCTTCCTAAAAATTTTCGTTGCACTCTCTCCAAGCTCTCTTTATGAACACCATAAAAAGGCTGCCAAACTGAACTGGCATATTCGAGCACCGAGCGAACAAGTGCACAATAAACATCTCTCAGAACATAAACATTATCTATATCCTTCAGAGTGCGAAAGAGAAACCCTAGCAGTCTCATAGCTTTATTGGTGATTTTTTCAATATGCGAGCTGAATGTTAGATGACTTTCTATCCAAACTCCTAGATCTTTAAACAAAGTTACGATTTCTAACTCCTCAGAGTCAACAGAATATTTGACAAGAATTGGTTGTTTCATTCTACTAAACGTAATGATAGTGCATTTTTTAATGTTTAAGGTAAGGCTATTTTCTGCGCACAGAGAGGAATCAATTGATATTGCAAGGATTGGAAGTCAGTCAAATTAGCAATAAGTTATAAATTTTAAAGTCATCTGCAAAATTTTTTACATCGTTTACGAACACGAAAATAGAGTCGACAGATGTCCTCCTTGAGGTACACCTGATGTTACAGTGATTTCAGAAGATATATAATTTTTGATTTTTACACCCTGCTTTCGTTCATTTAGATTACTTCCAAACCAACTGAAAATAGAGCCATGAAGTCCTACTGCCTTCAATTTAGATAATAAAATTTTTTGATCAACTCTGTCGAATGCCTCAGAGAAGTCCGTATATATAGCATCAACCTGATACTTATTCTCAAAGGCATTCAATACAGTCTGTTCAAATGACAAGAGATTTGATACAGTTAGATCTTCCTTTCATGAAGCCGTGCTGTTCATCAATAATGATATTTTTGAACAGGGGAGGCAATCTGTCAGCTACTAATGATTCAAAAATCTTTGCAATTACTGAAATTTTACTTATAGCTCTGTAATTCTTTACAACAGCTCTGCTTCCATCCCTAAAAACAGGAGAAACCTATGATCTCTTCCATAAATCTAGGAAAATACCAGAATTTAAAGATAAGTTAAAAATTTTACATAAAATATCTGATAAAATATACTTACAGTTTTGTAACAAACATACGGGAATCCCATCGGGACCCATTCCTAAATTTTTCTTTAATATATCAATTTTGTTAAAAACATCAATTGTGGAAAACTCTAAAAAACCTACATTAAGACACTTATCACAATTAATTTTTTTCTGTCAATGGCTTATCAAAGTCTGAGTACACAAATGCAAAGTGGGATTTAAACATTTCTGCAATCTCCTGCCCATTATCAGATTCACAACCATTGAAAAACATGCATTCTAAAAATTCTGCACAATCTTTCCTAGAATTAACAAACTTCCAAAAGGAACGCTTATCTTGTAACTGGTTTTCTAAATCTTTGATGAAACTTTTATATGATGACTGAGAGATGTTACGACAGTCAGCTCTTAGACTAGCAAAGTAATTATAGTCTTCTTGAGATTGCGTAGATTTATATTTTTTATGAACAATCTTTTTTTCAACAATGAATTTTTTTAAAATATTTGGCATCCATTTTGGGAATTTGGAGTTTTTAAATCTTCATAGGAGAGTAAAAGCTTCAATAATCCTATAAATAATATCATAACAACTGGAAACCACGGTATTCACATCTGTGCACACAAAAATTGAGCCCCAATTGACACAGGAAAGACAAAGGTTTATTTCATTAGTCAGCACGTTCAAAATTAAAATAAAAATAGTCACAAGAAAGGCTTGACAGCTTTTTCATCATCACAACTGAACATTCAAATGCGGGATGGGGAGCATCCAGCTTTAGCAAAGGATTATTACATATAACGACTTTTACTCCACAATTATCACGAAATAAGAGATCAAGGAAATTTCCATATATATTAGGGTCATCTAATATTTGAAATAAAGATAGATATGCTGCACAATCAGCCATACATATTGCTTCTTTGGGAAGTGGGCCCACAGGTACCGATCCCTCCATAGTTTTCTCCCAGTTTATATTGGGAAGGTTAAAATCACCCCAAATAAATATGTAAGATGAATTAAGGAGCATTTTCCCTTGAGGTTGTTAATAGTCTAGATGAAAAACAGCTCTTGACTGCTATCAGTACAACCCCCTGAAATTTACATGTACTAGTTTTTATTGATCTGTCACAGTCACATCTGTAAACCTGATAGCCTTCCAAACACAACTCACTAGTCAAAATGGTACAATCCAGAAAAGTTTCTGTAAGCAATATCACATCGTAATCTTCGACCAATACATTACACATAAAATTGTTGATTTTAGTTCTCATTCCTCTAACATTTTGGTAATAAAATATTAAAGCTCCCTTTGGCTGTTGGGAGGTTGGGGCACATTTAACAATTGTTCATAATAGGTTTCAGTGACACCAACCTTGAATGACTTTGACTCCACTTTGGATGGAAGTTTGTGAATTAAAAGTGTGTTCAATTCAACGATGTTAGCTTTTTGTTTTATATAATCATCAACAATCCTTGTTGTGGCATTTTCACTCACTCTACCCAGAAAAATCCATTTTTTCCCAGGTACACCCTGTAAAAGTTGATCTGGGGGCCTAGGCTTTTTGCCACCATTTCCCAAAGAACCTGATGAGCCATCACTACCACGATTTATTTGCCCTATGATATGGTTGTAAAGTTTGGACAACTGCATCATTGATTGCCTTTGAAGCTTGACTGAGGGTAACCTCAACTTCAGGGATATTTTTACGCTGTTTTTCCCAATTGTTTTTGTTTTAATTAAAATTGAGGTAAGAAACAGATGTTGCCATATTTGCTGCAATTCGCCTATCTGGCCAATCGGCCATAGGTGAGAATACAGGCGCAGGAGTGATGGAATGAGGTATAGTCGGGGACCTGGGGGTATGTTTACATCTAATTCAACCCCACTTTTCTCCAAAATGCCTATTTTCTTGGATAAATCATCTATTTTCTCCTCCATTTCATTTACTTTTGTATGTAGAAGCTCTTAAATATCTGCAAAGGTAGCAGTGCTGGGCGGCTGAAAATCCGAAACGACTCCCCCGCAATCTACAATCTACAATGTAGAAGCTCATTATTGTCCATCAGATCAAGCACCACTTTGTTCAACAGCTCACTTTTACGACTCAGGTCATCTTAACAAGCGCCATCATCAGCCGATTTTGGCGCGCAGCCCGGATACAAAACAATATCCAATTCCAGGGCTTTTGCGCCCTTCAACCGTAATAAACACACTAGATGAAATTGCTTAGTACACATTTTACATTTTAGCTCAGTTTTCACCTCTCTTTTGCAGGAATTGCACACTATTTTACACGCATTTTCGGACGATAACATTTGTTGACCTTCATTTTCTGCCATCTTGTAGTCTTCTACGTGTGAGTGCGTTCATTAGTGATGTTGTTGGAACGTTGTTGAACGCTGCCTCTATATCTAGGAACGTGCCTAGCGCCACATCTTTGTCATCAAGTGTGCACGCTCTGAAAAGAACGGTGATTGAGGATCAAAGTCTTTGTTCAAAGACCAGTAACCTTAAATTACAAAGTATGTGTCATGGTCCTGGTCTTGTGTAAAATTAAAATTATTCAAATCAAATTGAAAATAATTCTTTAGAAAATGCTTTATTTCCCATAATGGTGATAGCGGAAGTAAGTACCTACCTAAGAAATAAGGGACGTTATCTGACACTAGTGACAGTTCAGACACTGGTCTTTGGAGCTTCGACGCCCCGCTGAGCCGCTAGCGGTGGGGATAAACGACCCCAAGGCTTGACGCCCCGATTAAAAAGAACGGTCGTTTACATTTCAAAATCTTAATCCGGAGCGCCCTGGGGTGCCCAAGCCCGTGAAAAGAAAGCAGTTCAGATGACTTTCTCAGGATTCTGTTTTCAATGCGAAGTCTAGTTGGTAGGCATAATGGCGATCGCTTAGAGGATAGTGCGTGGTCTCTGATGTCTGTGATTATGACTTGGGCGTTTTGTCCAAGAACCTGCCAGGTAGACGACGGTAGCAGCCTGTGGTACGCTTCCTTACCTGATATCTACTGCTGGAGTCTGCGCCAAAGGCTGCTATTCTCTCGAGCGGCGTTGCCGGCTCAAGTACTCTATGCCACATCTTCCCTTTTCAGCAAGTGAGTGTCTTTTTAACTTAGTACTGCAGTCGAATTCAACGCAACTAGCCTTAAACCATTGTTTATCCTATTTACACTAGGTAGGTACCTATATTAATGTTATGGATAAAACTACACATTAATTCATTATATACACTGTACAATGTTCATTCTCACTCTTGTTTTAACTTCACCACACAGGTGCAATGACGTGCCGGCTTTACTAGTCTTCCTGATCTGGTGGTGTATCTCTGGCGATTGGAGTTATAGACTTCGGTCTTCTCCTCGGAGCCTGACTCAGATATTATGGAGGGGTTGAAGTCGTTGTCACTTTCGGAGCTATTGCCGTCAATTTCTGGTCCACTGCTTTGTGATGCGGCTGAACCGTATTCTGTGTTCGTATCATCCCCTCCATCGTGTTTGTATTATTTCTTGTCTTTCCATACTGTTCTCGGCTGTGTTGCTGACTAGAATTTGGAGTTCCATCTTATAGTTCACAGTGGCATGTTCCGAATGCCACGAAGTTTGATACCGACGACGGAGAGCCCGCTGTTGTTCTGGATTAAATTCCTAACCAAATGAGAGTTAGTTCTACCTCCTATAGTAATTTCAGGGTTCCTAGCACGTGATCCTTAAAATAAACACAATAAATTATTCCATGGCATTTTATGCTCAGTGCAGTCTGGTCAAGCATAAATACCTAGAGTTGAGAAGCCTTTTGAAATATTTTTTTTAAGATCATCACCTCTGATTCTGAGCTTGACTCATTATTGCAACTTTCGGGGAGTTCCCAATTGGACATCTCTAGTCGAGTATCTCTGTCCCTTGCTCTATCTAGTCTTATAATCGCTTCTGAGGTTACTTCTATAACTTTCCTTCTGTTTCGCCTGATGACGTTATTTTCTGCGGCTATAATGTATTTTCTAGGTTCAGGTCGAACATCCATTACATTCCCAAACATTTTCATATCGGGTATCCAAACTTTATCGTTATTTTTCAAGGTAGAATTTGATTTACTATGTCGCTTATTAAAATTCATTTTTTGAACTTCTTTTTCGTTGCTTCGGACTTCCTTGAATTCGTTGATGTAGTTCCACTCAGGGATAAATCTGTCTTTGTTAGCTGGAATTGAATTCCTAGGTTTTCTGCCCATGATCAGTTCTGCTGGTGAAAATCCACTCTCTAAATTTGCTAGAACTTAACAGTCCTAAGTTTGGGTCTCCGCATTTTAGAATTGTATACTTGGCTATTTTTACAACGGATTCCACCTGCCCATTTGACTGAGGAGACCTAGGGCTGCTTGTGATGTGGCTGAATCCATATATCTGAGCAAATTGTTTGAATATCTGGCTAGAAAAACAAGGCCCATTATCTGATCTAATGGTCTCTGGTATTCCCCATCTTGACAACATGAGTTTCATTTTCGCTATGACATCTACAGCAGTTTCTGAATTTAAGTTGGCAACCTCTATAAATCTTGAGAAATAATCGACTTGCTACCAGATAATGTTTGTTGTTGGCCACGAATAAATCAACTCCGACGATCTGCCAGGGTTAATCTGGCACAGGGGAAGGAATCATTGGTTCAGTTGTTGTATTCCTGTATTGAATGCATGTTAAGCAATTGGTCACAGTTTCTTCTATTTGTTTTGAGATTTTGGGCGACCACAACATTTCATTGGCTAGGCTTGAACATTTCGTCATGCCCAAATGATCCTCGTGTATTTTGTCAAATATATTCCTTGCGTAATGTTTACGGGATGAATATTCTGTTGTTGCGGTTTACTAAGCTATCCAATGTTACCATCTCTCCTTGATATTGATAGAAAATTTCATCTTCGGTTGGTAAATCCCTAATGTGTGGCCAGCCATTTTGTTCTTATTCTTTTGGTTTGTTCTTATTCTTCTGACATTCTGAGATACTTTTTATGCGCATGTCCTTAATAGGCATTGACTCACGAATATGATTTGCAAAATCTCCACTTTTTCTACGAGTTCGTTGACAAATAAAATATCTGCTCCATGATCACTGGATTTTAGTGGAGCTCTGGACAATACGTTAGGCATTATCATGATTCTGCCAGGAATATACTGTACATCATACGATAATCGGGGATAATACCACGAGAGCTTCAAAATTACCGATAATTTTTCACGATTGCGTATTTTCTATAATTTCACGAGTCCGTAGGACGAGTGAAATTTGCAGAGAAAACACGCATGAGTGAAAAATGATCTGGTTCATTTTAAAGCTCAAGTGGTATTTAGCGGATTATTTCACGAATGAGAATGCAAAAATATGGAAATAAATAGGTATTAAACGATTTGAATATCTTAACAATCAATACAAATAAATGGTTGCTATCAGGAACCGTTTGTTTGTATCAAAAATTAGCATGACAACCATGTATACAATACCATGGGAGAATTATCGCTGTAATTCTCTCTAGTTAAACAAATGGAAAAGAGAATTTTCGCTGTAATTCTGAAAATCGCCACTTGCCCTATGGAATTTCTAACACATGAGTGGAATAATCGCATCAATCTCATTCGGAATAGATCAGCTAATTGTTTGCTTCCTAGAAGTCCCAGTCAGGAGCATACATGTTTGACCAAGAAGGTATTGGGCGAATTTTTCGTAGACCCAAGTCAAAGACAATGTTTCTCGCTCTATCTGCGTATATCGTTTCTCTGAGTCGGACGTTGTCGTGGATGCATAGCCGATAGGTTTCCAGACATCTTTATCCATTTGTTCCAGGACTGCTCCCAATTTATATGAAATGGCGTCCGCTATGCCTCTTGTTAGACGTCCTAGAGCAAAATGTGCTAAAATTGGAGCTGTCGTAAGAGCTTTTTTTATGCTCGTTGTTGCGGCTTTGCCCACATAAACTCGTTGTTTTTTCGTAACAGTTGTCTTATGGGGTCGGATATTTCCGCTAATCCTGGAAGGAATTTAGTGTTAACTTGTATGCAGCCCATCAGTCTTCTAACTCCGGTTATATAGTTGGGGGGTTGCATCTCTAAAATGGCTCGAATTTTCTCTTCATCGATTTCAATTTCTGAATCTGAAACGCTATGGCTTAGAAATATCACTTTTTTCTTACCAAATTCGCATTTGTTTCTATTTAGTTTTATAAATTTTGCTTAGGTGTTGCAATATTATGTCCTGATCCTTCTGGAGCACTGCTGGGTAGATTCCATCCGGGCCTGGCGATTTAAGAGGGCGGAACTCGCCTATGGCCCATTGAATTCTCTTATATGTTGCCAGATCCTTTGCCTTGTCCCAGTCCACCTTCAATGGTCTTCTGGACCTGGGCATATCTATTTATAAAATAGCTCTAGTTATCTTTGTGATTAAGTAATTATTTGATTTATTGACCGATTCCATCCATTTTCGGTGCTATGATAAAGCATACATTTTCAAATTAAAATTCAGACATCTCATCTCGACAAACAGTAAGGTTTCTGCAACAATATTGTCCCGAACCCAACAATTGCTCTCCAAAGACTCCAAACAATCCAGATCTCAATCCGGTCGATTATTGTGTACGGAGACTGTCAGAAAAC